GCTGCCCCACCAGAGCACCTCATCCTGAAGAGGAGGCAGCATGTCCAGCCAGTGCGTGTCTGGGCAGGACACGTGTCCAAGGGAATGACTAGGGGCAATGTGAGTGTGCGGAGCTTCTCTGGGGATTGAACAGAGACTCTCAATGACTCAGCTGAAATGGGAAGATCAGAGTGATGTGTGGGAGCTACTGTGGCAAAGGCCTGACATCAGTCACCAGCGACCTAAGTGATAGGGGCAGGTGGGGAAGTCCTTGACTGAGAACAGCCATAGGGGCAGGGCAGCCTTTACCTTCTAGAGGACATGTTGTGACAACGGTGCTATATACAGGGCAAGCACACTGGGATCCACCCAATTCTGCCAACCATAATCCAAAAGGTCACTGACATTAGAGACACCAGCCAAAGCCAGCCTCTGTGGCACTCAAAGAACCTCCACCCCCTGTGCCACAAGATAGGTCTGTGCAAGAGGAGTTCACAGGAGATCTCTGCCCTTGGGCCATCAGGCAGATCTGGTTGCAGAGACCAGCTTTCAGGAGCTGAGGAGATCTCTGCCTCTCTCAGAGATTTCAGAGGTGACTTCTCAGAGGGAGGACAGCAAGCTACTGGAGGTATCAGAAATATGGGAGGCAGTGAAGGCATACTTAAAATCTCAAAGACTAAAATAGTAAAGACTATGAAAGTGGCCCTTCTCCATTCTGCCACTGCCCATTTGTTCCTCAGACATTTCCTTAGAAGTTCCTCTGGCCTACCAGTGGAATGGTGGTTCTGCTGTGTGGGTCGCTAGAGGGGGTTGGTGAATGCAGGGAGCACAGGACCCTCTGGTGAGTTCATGGCAAGCTACTGCTGACATCCCCACTGCTCTGTGGGGCAGCGACGGAAACCCTTGGGGTTACTGGGTTAGTTGCTACTGTGGTCTCATGCTGGCAGGAGCAGCCATTGCCGAGGGCAGCCCTGGAACCCTGGGTGGGCTGCTGCTGCAGTAGCTGCTTTTCTGGGCAGCCCCTCCTTTGCTGGATTGCTCTGCTGCTGCTATTCTGTAAGCAGAATGGTGAACGCTCCCAGTGCTCTAGATAAACCACCCCCAGGAGAGGCGTAGCTCACAGCACTGAGAGCGTATTTACACTGGTGCTTCACAGTGCTGTGACTTTCTTTGCCCAGAGAGTCCATGCTGAGTAGCCAGAGTGACAAGCTATAACTGGTTTTGGGCATCCAGGGCGACCACCAGGTCTGCATCCCACAGGGCTGCTCAGAGATTGGTCAATCCAGAGAGAAAAGTCTGGTGTAGAAAACTCTTGCCCTTTATCTTGTCTGCTCTAGAACCATAAGAGCAGCACTGTCCTCGTCTAGAAGATGGGTGATTTTTTTTCCTCTTCCTCTTCTCCAAAGCTCGCAAGAAGTAGCCACAATACATCCCCTAAAGTTGCTCGATACATCAGTAGATAAATGCAACATGGGCTCACTGTTCGTCCATGACCCAGAGTTCTTCCCATTTCTCCCAGAATTCTCTGCAGAGCAGAGATTCTCAGGATCAGGAGCCACGTATCTTTCAACCTCCATGTCATGATTAGACAGTGAGGCAGCCAGGCCATGGCAATGTGCACTCAGCTACTCTTGCTGCTGGACATAAAAACTGGCCTCCTAGCTTCCTCAGCCAGCCAGGCAGGGCAGGTCAGAGGCAGCCTGGCCCACCTCTTAGGCAGCAGGAGTGCTGGGCAGGTGCAGCTGCAGGGCCTTATTGTTGACCTTGGTCCCCAGGGCAATCTCAGTAGGACAGCATGACACACGCCTTCCTTGCTCCTCCCCATCACTGAGCCGAGGGAATTATGTCTCTACCCTGGCCAAGCCAGCCTACCCCCCAAAACCAACCTCCTCCTACTGGGCATTCCTACAACACCAGCAAGCCAGCCTGAGCTGCTCAGCTAGTAGGAGGGTGTCACTGTGCCTCAGTGGTCGCAACTGGGAATAACAAATTCAAGACAGATTGCTGAGAAATATTCTCCCATAAAGATATACCCCATCAGCAACAAAAGCAAACTTCTGTCTCATCTCACTGGCTAACCAGACTCAGAAATGCAGTTTCCTTAAGTATTCCAGTCCTTGTTTCAGTACCCAGTCACTAGCCTTAATGAGGAGTGGTCATTTAAAACCAGTTTCAATAACCAAAGGAGTCTCCTGTTTCCAAAGGACCAGCCATATGCGCAGGTCAATAAATAACTCAGATTTTACCCCAAGATTACACATTTGCCAATTCTATCTGATGTCCAGTGGTTTCTTTGCTTTCCCCAAATATAACTCTCACTTCTTTCTCTTCTCGTGCACTCAAATATGGACACACATTGCAACATTCTTGGATCAGGTTTGAATTGGTGACAAAATAAGCCACTAGTTTAAATGTCTGGGTGCTTCCGAAAGATTGGACAGTCATCTCTCCTTGGTTAGAATGCTCCTATTAGTATACATCCATAGTCCAGCGATTAGAACAGGGAAGAAGCTAAGTAGAGTTGTTTCACTAGCCTTTGATTGCTCTCTGGTATGTGGATGACAGGGTTCCCTCTATTTTTTCATCTATGTGTGAGATACATGTTATGTACCCTGACACTTGCTGTTGTGCACCAGCAGTAGAAATAAAAAAATCTAGATTTAATACAAATTTTTAAAAAGTCACCATTGTGTATGTGAACAGAGACTGTGTATATATGTGTGTGTATGAGAGAGAGAGACACTGTGGGTATCTTCATGGGTGACTCAGATTGTATGTGAGGGAGAGAGGGATAAAGACTCCATGCTGGCTGTTGCTGGGTAAGTTACAGAGAAACTCCATCCACTGTCTCTTTACTGCAAGTAGTCCTGCTCTGTGTGAGTGTCTATGCTATGGGTTAAGATCAATTAAGAGATGCAACTTCAGCTATGTAAATTGCAAAGCTTAAGTCAAAGTACCTTAACTTGGTTTTTGGTGCTGTCCACACTGCAAGAAGTCTCCCTTCAACTTCCCTTACTCCTTGTGGAAGCAGGACTACTAGCATTGAATGCAGTCCCCCTTTCAGTTCGAATTAGCATGTCTTCATTCCACTCACTGTTTCAAACCCTGAAAGATCAACAGCGGCAGCTTCAGTCATCTCTGTAGTGTACATTACCCTGTGTGTATGAGAGAGAGTCACACTTTGAGTTGGCTGCTAGAAACATCTCACGAACAGAGCATTGCTTCTGTAAGATAGGCAGGCTGTCACCATTCAGACACAACAGCAACCATGTTTGACATACAGGAATATGGTCCATATTCATAACTCAAGGTACAAAATGATGCACATATAATATAAGATAATCACAGTCACCACATCAGAACGTTCTCATTGACACCACACAGGACACATAATGCAATTGTGTAATAGTGGTATCACAATGACGTACATGGACATATTTTAATCCTATAACATCAAAGAGTGATCTTTGCAGCAGTAAACAATGGCCCAAGAAGGGGTCTGGCTGAAAGTGTGAGGAATGCACTCACAAGATGGAAAAATATGAATTGTAGATTCTGTGCAGCCAAGAGGGGCAACAAATGGGAGTCCTGGCTGGGAAACCACACAAGGAGGCTGCTACTGTTGCCACCGGCAGAGTAGAACTGAGGTAGCAGAGAGGAAATCAGATGCAGCAACAGCTAAAGGTCACCATGGTCAGCTGTGGGAGTGGCCCATCTAGTCCAGGCAGTTGGGGTCAGGAGTCTGGAGTATAGGCAGAGTCTGAAACAGCCAGCCAAGGATTCACCTCACTGCTGAGACAACTTCCTTCTGGTTCAAATAGAGCATCTGAACCAAAGAGCAGGGTGAGCCGAGCCCCCCAGTCAGGAGCTTTGTGCACAGACTCTTGGGGAGCTAGAGCTCTGCTGGGCCCTTTCTGTCCAAGTCTGAATGACCTTCCATGTGGCAGCTGCAGTCTGAGCCCTGCCTGTGGGCCTTGGTGTCAGACCTGCCAGCCCTCACTGGAGCTCCCCTTGTGAGCAGTGTGTTCTTGTCCTGCCCTGGAATGTGGGGGAAGGAATGGGCCATGACAGAAACTTAGTTGTACCTTAGAGAGTGCAGCAGAGTGCTCTGCTCCCTTGAGGAATAAGCTGGGCCATTCCTGAGGCAGGGGGAATACACCTTTACTGCAGGTGGGTGTGTCATGGGATCTTATGCCATCCAGAACCCAGTTTCTGTCAGGTGGGGAAGGAGCCTCTCTGGGTGGGTGACTCATATTGTGAAAATATTAATGGCACATACCTTAATGAACGAGATCAGCACTTGGTTAATTGCTCTCCGAGCAGGATTTCCAGTCTCCAAAGCTAATGTGATCTCCTGGGTGAAGCAAGCGGAGGAGCTGAGGAAATCAGATGTACAGGGCTTTGGAGGAGGGATCATCAGTGACACCCATGCAGGTGAGCAATCAGCTAAACTGATTCAGAAACCAATTTCTGTCTTCTCAAAGCAGATGTTACTTACGCAGTTTCATTAAATCTAACTGAATCTTTGACTTGTCTTCAACTCCAGTCAGAGATGTGGAGGAGGGATGGATGCAGTGCTGTAGGTAAGAGTTGTGAGGGAGGAGGATGAACTGAGCTTATGATTATTCACCCTTCCCAGTCATTATTTGAGTGTGTCCCTTCCTTTTCTGTTCCCATTTCAGAGTTTTCCTTTCAGCTCAGCATAGAGAATGACTCCTGTCTGGATTCTCTCTATCTCAGCAGGTGACAGGACAGTGAGTGAGAACAACGAGGAGAGTCTTCATCAGGAAGGACCAGAGCAAATGGCTCCACGAGGGATATTATTGAGAATATCTGAAGGGCATGTTTCTCAGAGTTCTGAGCAGGGAGAGACCTATGAGAGTCAGTATGCCCCAGAAAGGCATCAACGAAACCATCCGGTGCAGGGACAGTGTAAATACAGTCAGAGGAGCAGAGGAGCAAAAAGAAACAAAGAAATCATTCAGCTTCTTCAAGAGGCACCCTACACTTGCAGTGACTGTGGGAAAATCTTCCAACGGAGACAGGCCCTAATTGTACATCAGCGAATCCACACAGGAGAGAAACCATTCAACTGCTCTGAGTGTGGTAAAAGCTTTCGTGTGAGCTCACACCTTGTTACCCATTGGAGAACACACTCAGGGGAGAAACCCTTTGACTGCTCTGACTGTGGGAAAAGCTTCAGTCGGAGGTCAAGTCTTGTTAGTCATCAGAGAATCCACACAGGAGAGAAACCCTATATCTGCTCTGACTGTGGGGAAAGCTTCAGTTTGCGCTCAAGTGTTGTTATTCATCAGAGAACTCACACAGGAGAGAAACCCTTCAACTGCTCTGCATGTGGGAAAAGCTTCAGTCAGTATACAAACCTCATGCAACATCAGAGAATCCACACAGGGGAAAAACCCTTTGATTGTTCTGTGTGTGGGAAAAGTTTCTGTGGTCGCTCAGGCCTGATTATACATCAGAGAATTCACACAGGGGAGAAACCCTTTGACTGTTCTGACTGTGGGAAAAGTTTCAGTCAGCACTCAAGTCTTATTAATCATCAGAGAATCCATACTGGAGAGAAACCCTTCAACTGCTCTGACTGTGGTAAAAGCTTCAGTCGGCGCTCAAGTCTTATTATTCATCAAAGAACCCATACTGGAGAGAAACCCTTTGACTGCTCTGACTGTGGGAGAAGCTTCAGTCGGCGCTCAAATCTTATTATTCATCAGAGAACCCATACTGGAGAAAAACCCTTCAACTGCTCTGACTTTGGGAAAAGTGTACCTATGAGCCCACACAGGAGAGAAACCATTTGAATATTTGGACTATGGGAAACGTTTTAGTCAGCGCTGAAGCCTTAGTAAACATCAGATAATACATGTAAGAGAGACACCCTTTGACTGCGGCAAAAGCTGCTGTCAGTGCAGATCTTGTTAGACATAGGAAAATTCACACAAGAAAGAAACCTTCAACTGCTCTGACTTGTAAAACCTTCAGTCAGAACCCAAACATCATTGAATATCAAAGACTCAACAGAAGCGAGAACCCTTATGACCCAAGTCCCCTTTAAGCTGCTTCGCCTTGTGGCTGTGCAGAAGTCTATTAAATGCCATGTAAGTACTTAGGGCTGTGGCAGGGAGCCCCAGCCCACATCTGTCATGGCTGAGGGATAATTGACTATGGCAGGAAGAGGTGCCTCTCTCTGCCCTTCAGGGCAGCACATGAGCTGTGGGAGAGAGCTTGTGGGAGTCTTCTCTCCCTAATGGGATACACCTCAAACCCTTCATCTTTGGTGTACCCCAGAACCCACAGTCCGATCTGGAACCCTCACATCCCTGTTCTCCTACTCTGTCCCAGCCCTGCGCCCCCTTCCTATAATCCAACCACCCGGGGCCCGCCTCCACCACATGAATTTTCTTCTGTGAACCAATATGGTGTGTCATGCTTTCCCTCCATTTTGGTGCCCATAACAATTTCATTCTGCAAATGTGTGGGAAAGATTAGATGGAACACTGTGAATAATTGCCCTAAGTGTGAGAAAAGCTTCAGTGAATGCTCACACCCTATTGCACATCAGACAGTTCACACAAGACTGAACCCCTATAACTGCTCTGACTGGGTATGTCTACAGTACCACCCTAGTTTGAACTAGGGTGGTTAATGTAGTCATTCGAAGTTGCAAATGAAGCCCGGGATTTAAATATCCCGGGCTTCATTTGCATCTTGCCAGGCGCCGCCATTTTTAAATCCCCGTTAGTGCGGACTTTGTGCCCGCGGCTACACGCGGCACGGAGTAGGTAGTTCGAATTAGGCTTTCTAATTTGAACTACCTACTCCATGCCGCGTGTAGCCGCGAGCATGGAATCCGCACTAACGGGGATTTTAAAATGGCGGCGCCCGGCAAGATGCAAATGAAGCCCAGAATATTTAAATCCCAGGCTTCATTTGCAACTTCGAATGACTACATTAACCACCCTAGTTTAAACTAGGGTGGTAGTGTAGACATACCCATACTGAGCAAAGGTTCAGTTTGAGCTGATAGCTCATTGAACATTTGTCAAGAGAGAAAAATGACAGATGTGTGAGCAGAAAAAGCTTTAGTCAGTGCTCATACATTGTCACATTAGAGAACCCAAAGATGAGAAGGACCTTATTATAATATAACAGGGTTTCTAGCAGCATCACTTAGAGGATCAAATCAGGTGAATTGCTTAGAGACAGGGCTACTTACAGCCCAAGACTGGGGGCCCTCCATTGTAAGGCACCAAGGCACAAAGAGGACTTCTATGTGCCACACTGGCCAGTAAATAGACACACAAGACCTTCCCTTAGACATGCCAGCTTTTCCTGTGCCATAACTAGCACCACACTTTACACAAATGAGAGGTTATGAAAACCCATCCAAATCCGAGCAGGTTCTTCTTACCACAAAGGACCAGCCCCATTCCCAGGTCAATTTATACCTTAAATCTTACCCAAAAGGGTATGTTGTGCCAATCCTGTAGGCTCTAAAGGTTTATTAAAGAAAGAAAAAAGATTTAGAGTAAAAATGTTAAAGGAAACAATTACACACACCAGTTTCAGTGTTTCTGATGCAGACTTGTAGCAGAAATGGAATAAACTGCTATCTTAAGTCTCTGATTACATTCTCTGTTTGGATGGGTCTTCTGTCCTTTATAGACTCAATTCATAGCAAAGATGTTCCTGAAGAGTGTGTGAGAGAGGTGGGGGTGTGCTTAGCTTCTACTCTGCCTTAGGCCTTGCTTCTAACTCAATATGCAAACCTGCAAACTCCCTCCCTTATCCCACCCATTTTGTTGGGTATAAATCAATTAAGGTGGTCAGATATAAATGATTAGATAATCATCATATATATAGTAGCCCAATGTCTGTGACTATAATGCTGAAATTCTGGCTGTTCCCTCTGGGCGGCGCTGTTGCCTCCCACCGTGGCACTCGGTTGACTTCTGCGCAGCCCAGCCCCCCTACACCTTCCACTGTGGCGTTCCACTGACTTCTGCGCCACTCAGCCTGGCTGCCGCGGGGGAGCCCAAATGGCCATTTGCTTTGCTTGCTCCCCTGTGGTGGCCCAGCTGAATGGTGCAGAAGTCAGCCGAGTACCACGGCGGGAGGTGAAGGGGGGCAGAGTGGTGATGTGCGGTGTGACAGCAGCTCCAGGCCCTGCCCCCTGGCTGTGACCAGACCCTGGCTGGGGGGAGGGCGGGGGAAGGAGGAGAAGGGGAAGGTGGAAGACAACTGGGAGGCTGCAGGATCAGTGCTGGGGTGAAGGGAAACGGTGCGGGGGGGGGGGGGCGCGGCGGCGGAGGAAGAGAAGAGAAAGAGAGTGAGAGGCAGGAGGGAGAGAAGAGAAAGAGAGAGGCAGGAGATGGAGGAGAGCTGAGAGAAAGAGAGGGAGGAGGCAGTAGGAGGAGGGGAGAAAGAGAGAGACAGAACGAGAGACTGGAGGCTCAGGAGAGAAGACGAGATAGAAAGGGAATAGGATGTGGAGAAGAGACCGGAAAATCCCCTTTTATGATGGGCTCATTGGCTAGTTACAATATATTAGGACTGACTGCATTAGTTAAATTAATTAAATTTCAGTAGAATGATTGGTTAAGGTATAGCTGAGAATAGTAATCTGTACATTGGGGAAAACAGGAAGTGGGTGGGAAAAAAGTAAAGGAAACTGGATTTATGTTTGCTGAAGGCTAACCTCAATAAACATCAAAGTGTTTGCATCTCTCAACTTCAGCTATTGCTATTCTATGCGCACATGGGAAGGGCCAGGGAAATAGGAAGGTGAAGGAATAAACCCGCTAACAGATTCCTGGGGGCTTAATTCCTATCTTGTCATCACTTAGGATGTCAAGGATGTCCCCACTCCGGGGCTACATTTACACTGCAGGCTTCTTGCGCAAGAACTGTTTTGCTCAAGAGTTCTTGTGCAAAAGGTCTTTCACAAGAGCGTGTCCACACTGCCATGGGCTTTTGTGCAAGAGACGTGGTTTTGTGCCAAAGCGTCCATGGCAGTGTGAAACAAAAGACAGGACTATGCAGCACTTTAAAGACTAACAGGATGGTTTATTAGGTGATGAGCTTTAGGTTTATTAGGTGAAAGCTCATCACCTAATAAACCATCCTGTTAGTCTTTAAAGTGCTGCATAGTCCTGTCTTTTGTTTCACACTGCCATGGACGCTTTGGCACAAAACCACGTCTCTTGCACAAAAGCCCATTAGTGTGGATGCTCTCGTTCACAAGAAAGCTCCGATGGCCATTTTAGCCATAGGGCACTCTTGTGCAAGAAATTCATGTTTCCTGTCTACACTGCCTTCTTGTGGAAGAGCTCTTGCGCAGGAAGGCTTATTCCTCGGGGGGAGAGGAATAACTCTTCCGGAAGAAGCCCTGTTTTCCGATGCTGTACTATAATTTTACTTGTGCAACAACGCGCATACAGTGAAGATGCTCTGCAAGTTTTTGCGCAAGAATGGCCATTGTGCAAGAAGCCTGCAGTGTAGACGTAGCCTTCAGTGCAGACCAGATGCTTTTCTGCAATGCGCTTTGGTCCAAACTTACTACTGTACAGAAGGCCTGTGATCTGCTGGAGGGGAAGGGGGAAATTAGATGATCAAACTCTCCTCTGGCCTTACAGTCTGCAACTCTCTGCAAACTGTGTGTGGCACTGAGCAGCCTCTGATGTTTCCATGTGCAACCTGCTTGACCCCAGAACTAGCCCTGAATGAGTGGGGATGACACAGGGGGAGCAGTTCAACCATGCAAAGGGTGTGCTAGGGACAGGACATTAGACCTGCAGGGCAGGGGTGAGTGTGGCAGTGACCTCACAAGGGCCTTTTGCAGCACCTCTGTTTATTGGTTAAACTTGCAAGTAGGAATAAGAGATCCTCTGGAAAAGGGCTTTATTCCGGAGGATCGCGCATGTCTAGATGCTTTTTTCCAGCTTTTCCCCAAGCCGGAAAAAAAGTGGCGGACATGTTTATTTAAATCCCGCGGGGGATATTTAAATCCCCCGTGGATTTCCCTATTCTGACTTACCTGCTTTGCATGACTTCCAGAATTAGGGGCCAGTCTAGACGTAGCCAAGGAGAAAATTGGTGCAGGCCTGGCTGAGTGAGATGGGTGCCTAGGGCTCAAGCTGAGACCCCTCATTCCACACAGCCCCTGAGCCAGCACCAGGTAAACTGTCAGCTTCTGTCCTGGGGAGGTGGAGGGAGAGCCCTCCTGTCATTGCTGGGGAAGGGTGGAAATTTACCTGCTGGCAATCCCTATGGGCTGGTTTTTCTTCAGTTCACCACCAAGCAGGGAGCAGGGGCCAGCAGAGATCGTGGGGGAGGGAGAGAGGTTTGGGTCTCTGCTGGGGAAGAGGGCTGACCAATAAAGGTGCTTAGTTACCCTGAGCAGACCTGTTCCGGCAGGGCATCAGGTCAGTAGTTGCTTTCTGTGGCTATCTGAGGCTCGTTCTTAAAGGGACCCCCCTGGACAGCTGGTATCGTGGTCCTGATGTGAAGGGGAGACATCAGCCATCTCCCTAGGCAGGAGGGTCTGCTCTGTACCCCGGAGCTGGGCCAGCTGTCAACCAGCTCAGAGCCACCAAATTCACTGGAACTACACTCACTGCTCCAGCTGAGGAACAGGATGTGAGATCCTGTTTAATTGGTTAACCAGTCAAACCATTAAAGGAGGGACGGGCCCCCTGCCACCAGGCTGCGATGGCGCCTCCACTGAGAACAAAGGCTGCTTTGGCCAGCCGGCTGGCTCAGCCCTTGCTGGTGGTAGGCCCTGCATGGCTGGAGCATCCCCCTGCCTGTAGTTAACTGGAGCCGACGAGCCCAGTGAGCCATTCACATCCCTGGTGGAGAAACTGTTACGCTTATAAGAAGCTGGGAAAAGGCAATACGCTGTGTTTATTGAGAATACCGTAGAGAAGCAGTTAGCATCAGCTTCATAAAGACAAGCCTTCCCTCCCTCCCCCCCACCTCACACACATACAGATGGTGCATAGTTACCCGTCCATGGTGGATCAAATCAGTATTACTGGCCAGGCCAGGCTGACTAAGCGAGAATTCAGGGTTCCTCTGAGGCAAAGCTTTCAGGACTGAACCCAGAGTCCCATGCCAAGAGCTTCCCTTCTTATACATTTCAGTTCCCACTTGGGTCTATGGATATTGCAGTGTCATGCTGCCGTCACCCACCCTGAGGAGAGGGTCTGGCCCACGAAAGCTTTTAGATTAGAGGATTAGGCCAAAAGAAATCTGATGAGGTTCAACAAGAACGAGTGCAGAGTCCTGTACTTGGGTTGGAAGAATCCCAAGCATTGTTACAGCCTGGGGACTGACTGGCTAAGAGCAGTTCTAGAAAAGGACCTGGGGATTACAGTGGATGAAAAGCTGGATATGAGTCAACAGTGTGCCCTTGTAGCCAAGAAGGCTAATTAGGTTGCATTAGGAGGAGCATTGTGAGCAGTTCTAGAGAAGTGATTATTCCCCTTTATTCAGCCGTAGTGAGGCTACATCTGGAGTATTGTGTCCAGTTCTGGGCTCTCCACTACAGAAAGGATGTGGACGCATTGGAGAGGTCCAGTGGAAGGCAACCAAAATGATTGGGGGGATGGAGAACTTGACCTACTAGGAGAGGCTGAGGGATTTGGGCTTATTTAGTCTGCAGAAGATATGGGCAGGTATGTGTGTGTGTGTGGAGTTGATAGCAGCCTTTAACTTCCTGAAGGGAGGTTCCAAAGAGGATGGAGAGAGGCTGTTCTCAGTGGTGGCAGATGGCAGAACAAGGAGCAATGATCTCAAGTTACAGTTGGGAAGGTCTAGGTTGGATATTAGGAAAATCTATTTCACTAGAAGGGTGGTGAAGCACTGGAATGGGTTCCCTAGGGAGGTAGTGAAATTTCCATCCCTAGAGATTTTTACGGTTTGGCTTGGCAAAGCCCTCGCTGGGTTGATTTCATTGGGGTTGGTCCTGCATTGGGCAGGGGGCTGGACTAGATGACCTCCTGAGGTCTCTTCCAGCCCTATGATTCTATGAAGTCTTGAAGAGAGGGTGGAGTAGATGGGATCCCTCAGGGACATGGAGATGAGCCAGAAGTCTGGGTAGTTAGGAATCCTCCAGGCCAGTAGGGCTAGGGTGACTATGACAAGAGAAGCCCATAGTTCCCTCAATGGGCTGGTGGTGCCCCATGTCTCACTGACACTATCTGACCTGGATCTTAGAGGACAACAGCAAACAGGCTGCACAATTCCAGGGGCAAAGATGAGATTGGCTTCTCTCCCTTGCCCAATACTCTCTATGGTTTGGCACCAGAAACTGCAGAGTGGAGCCCAGATGAAACATCCCCAGCCTCTGAGACTTCACGATAGCAAGTCCACAGGAGGAAATCATAGAGACTAAAGTGTCTGACAGCAGAGAGGCTGATTTCAGGGTTCCCAGTGTGGGATGTTCTTTTTCCTCCTTGCCCTTCTTCTGACATCTCAGGGACACAGGCTGAGCTGGGAGCCTACCCCCAGCACCCAGAGCCAGGGTCGGATTGTCTCCCCAGGGAGGGAGCCCAGTGGGAAAATGAAGATCGGGGCTTCAGCACCAGCATCAATAAATGTCACCTGCCCCTGGTCACAGTCCAGGCAAACCCAGAGCTTGCTGGGGACCCAGCTCAGGGGCAGAGGGGTTGCAGGGGAAGTGAGAGCCCAGAATTCACCCAACACACACCCCACAGCCCAGATCCCTTCCTCGGGGCTGACCAGTCCCTTCCTTCTCACAGACTCTCTGGCTACGCCCACAACCCAGCCTCCCTCAGCTCCCACCTCCACCTCCCAGTAATGTCTCCCTGAAGTGAATCCCTCATGGCCCAGCACACAGGGCTCAGTGTCAAATCTCTCAGGACTGTCAGGCAGATACTGCTGCGTTTCTTCCCATCTCACATGTTTCCGATCCTCAGACAGGATGAGTTGGGGATGTGCCGTGTCTGGATCCAGAGTCACATTCGCTGGGGAGAGAGAATCAGAGTGTGAGGGGCAGAGCTCAGCCCTGGGAGCAGCTGGGGCCATTTGCCAACCTCCCCAGCAGCCCTGCTCTGGCTGAGACTGGCCTGGATCCCAGGGAGCTGCCTCTTTCCTGGGCCCCTAAGAGGATGCGTCTACACTGCAGCCTGACCTTGAAATAAGCTGCACAATTGTACAATGTAAATTGTGTAGCTTATTTTGAGGTAATTTCAAAATAGCTTTTCTTGAAATTTGGTGCTGAGAAAAGCGCTATTCAGAAATGTCCTTTAAAACTCATGGAACATCAAAATAGCACGCCCGTTATTTTGAAATCTATGTCTAAATGACGGGCTGCTTTAAAGAGGCAGAATTGCTACTCTGAGATACTTCCAGTATCCCGAAATAGCTCCGCAGTGTAGACATAGCCAGACTCAGCAGAGCAGTCACTGCAGTTCCATTAGCCTGTAGAGGTGTCAACTGTCAGCTCCCCTGCTGGGGCTGCTCCATTCCCAGCATCAGAGACAGCCAGGCAGGTGTCAGAAGCTTTTAGGGAGGTGGGGGCACAGGTGACAAGTCACATCTTTTAACTCTTGAGGAGACCCCCCTCCCCTACTCCAGAGGCAGATGAACGTTTATTGGGGCTCTGGACCCAAAGAACATTTGTGCCCCCACCTCACCCTTCTGCCACAGGGCCCACCCTGTGCTCCTCCCCTGGCTGCAGGTCCTGCAGCCTGTCCTGTCTGGCAGTCAGGCTATGGTAAGAACTGTGCAGGTAGCCTGGGCAGCTGCTGGGAGACCTGGGTGCTCCACATGTGCTGTGTGGCAGCCTCTGGGGAGCAGGACTGTAGGCTAGGGCTACTTTTAGGCACCCTGCCCCCCTGCCCAGGGAAGGTTCAAGTTCCATGGTTCCCTCCAGCTCTTGGCAGCTCTTATTACCACCGGCCTCATTTTGCTCAGGCCAGTTCACTTTTCAAGCCCTACTCCAGACACCCAAACTATTTTGGTAAAACTGAATGTTTGTTCACATGGGCAGTGCGTGAACACCCCTTTGGGTGTTCAGTTGACAAGAACAGATCATCAGCTGACAAGAACAAATAGGACAAATAGGGGGTGGGGGGTGTTGTGGCAGCTTCGGCTTCCTAGTGGGAGTGAGGGGTGGGACTCAGGGAATGGCTCTGGCCAGCAGCTTTGCGTGCAGAGTGGGGGAGTGGGGAGAGCGGGGCTCTAGCCAGCAGCTGGACCAGCTCCAGAATGGATCACGGAGAATATGCTCACCATCACAGCCAGGCTCAGGCTTTGGCCTGGCCAGACAGTTGGGCCAGTAGAAGCAGTAGGCTGGGGTGGGGCAATTTTCTGGTCATCCTGTGAGGGGCTTCCAAAGTGGCAAGAGCCGCTGGGCATGGGCCCTGTGGTAATCCACCACTGCTCCACTCCACTCCCAGGCCAGGGCACAGAGGGGAAGGTGCAGAGCGGGGGAAGAGCTGCCTGACCCCAGAGAGCAGGGGGTGGCATAAGGTGGGGCAGCCCCAGCCCAGAGAGATGGGAGGAGCTGCCAGCACCACAGGGAGAGCGTCTCTCCAAGACAGGGAGCGGCTCCAATGGGAGAGCCCAGCCCTGCCCAGAGGAAAGGCCGGATGGGGGAGAAGAGCAGTGGGGAGCCCCCTGTATGGTGTGAAGCAGAGGGAGGAGGCAGGGCAGAGAGCTCTGTGTGGGCGCTGCTCAGAGAGAGGGTTTCTGTGCAGCAGCCTGGGCAGGAACTTAGCCCCACGGTTAGTGCCAAGTGTGTTTGTCTGCCTTCTCCACATGTCCAGTGGGTTTATTTGAGGGGCTGTGCATGCTGTGGTTACTGTAAGTTTGGTTGTCATCATTAGCTACAATCTCATGAAGATGTTGCATCTGGAATTTTCTCATCACTTAAAGCCAATCTCCCTCCATCTGCAAACTCACTCAGTCTGTGCGCTCCAAGGGGTTCCCCTGCTTTTGTCTCCAGCTCCGATGGCAGAGTGTCTGGAGGAGGAAAGGAGAAAAGAGATGGGATTTTGCCTCTCATGTTTATGACAGCATCCCTACAGTGAACTCAGAGAGAGAGCTCTGTTTCCATCATGATAGAGAGAGACAGGTGTAGACACTAAGGGTAAGTCTAGACTACATGCCTCTGGCGACAGAGGCATGTAGATTAGGCTAGCCGGCATAGGAAAATGAATTATTTAAATCACCAACAGAGACATGTAAAATAGGCCACCCAACATAGTCAATGAAACAATTATTTAAATCGCCACTTCATTTAAATTTACATGGCTGCCGCGCTGAGCCGATCATCTGTTTGTCGGCTCACTTGGGAGGTCAACAAATGCCTTTGATGTCGACCGCGGAGCGTCCAGACTACCGCGCTGAGCCGACAAACAGCTGATCGGCTCAGCGCG